AATGGTGAGACTAAACCAGAAATTAAAAGATAAAAGCCCAGGTTTATTTTAAAAAAAGTGATAATGCTTCCACATGAAGGGATAAATGACCTCCAAAAATGCAGCGATTAAATTTAGGAGTCCTAAAACATGTTCCATATTCTACTACTCATTCCATTACCATAAGACTGAAGTGGAAAACCAATTGAAAGATCATTTTAATTCAAGATTGCGAGTTTTATGCAGCCTTGAAGAGCAAAAGAGGCAAGTCACTAATGACAGGTGGAAATTGAATTGTATGATATCATGCATAATTCAAAATGGGTACCATTTTAATGGTGCCTGTAGAATGTTAGATTTCTAATTCGTACCTATAATAATACCTCTTTTTCGTCTGCCCATGTCGTAACAAATAAAACTGTGAATAATAGTCATTTGGGTGACTTATTACCTAATCTAGAGACGAGAGAACATTTGCCACCTAATTACACAATGCTATTAATAATAAAAATGATGCAATGAGGCATTACACACACACACACACACACACACACAGGGAAGAAAGGAATGTGAAGAGCAGAACAGAAAGCGGAACTTGAAGAACAGATGACAGAAGCAATCATACAAAGCATAAAGTTCACATGCTTGCTATAAATACAAAAAAAGGGAGCTATAAAGGACGTAGAGCCAGAAGTAGAGCATCAAATACATGCATCCAATCATATACACGCGGCCTGAATGAGTAGTTCAGGCCCCAAATGAGGGGAGTAAATTCTAGTGTGTGTGTGTGTGAGAGACGTTTTGATTCAATAAAAAGGGAAATAAATTGTTGTGCACGAGAAAAAAACCCCATTATGACTTAAGATAAGACAGAAAGTTATTCCCCCCCCCCCCTCCACTCTGAGAATACGAATATGAACTTAGTTCATTGGCAAATTGTAACTCTGTCTAGTGACACGAGCAAGGTATAGGTCCAAAATTGAAAGTTTCAGAAGTTCAAGAAGTTGGGAAGACAAGGCGGTGGGGTAAGACGGGTGGAATTTTATCCCATTTTACCAACTGAAGGACTTAGCAAGGGAATAAAGGGGGTTCCTACCCGTTACTTACTAATATAACCACCACCACCACAAGTAGATTATCTATCAAAGAGTGGCTATAAATGCTCTAGCATTTCTTAATAACTGGAGCATAGACTACTGAATGATGACTACACTTGTTAATAGGAGTCAACGAAAGGGGAAAAGGAGACAATTTGCAAAGTAGAGCCAAGAATCATGTAAGAAATAGGGAAAGCTTGGACAAAGAGATAAAAAGGAACCTCTACTGATTTCATTAAATGCCAATATCCGAAACAAGAGGTGGGAATCTGTTTAGGTGGAAAGGAATGAATCGCACCTACAAGCTAGCGATGGCATTTTTCGCAACAAATCGACCAACGTACCACAAACTATGGGCATGCCCAAGTACTGAAGCGTGTGGAATTAATCGAAATTCTTCCCCCAATAATTCTTTGAACCATGTTTGGAGAAAAAACCACGTTGTCACTAAACTTCTCAATTTCGAGTCAACTAGCTTAGAAAAGGAAGCAGTTGAGAGTTACATTGTTGTAGTGAAAGAGAAAGAAAATGGAATATTTTCAAAGTGGGATAAGGATTTTGAAATCTGAAAATGGAATATACTACTCTGACACTAGATTTATTGATTATTGCTCATATCTGATCGCAGCTAGAAATAAAACTGACTTAGCATTTACTGTTGGAAAATAGCTCAGCCCATCAAAAGCTTAAATCCAAAATACGAAAAGTCACACATCATTTTGCGCAAAGGAGATATTAATGACTATACGCTGTTACCTCGGTGACATCTTAATACTACGCTTACACTTCAAGTGACTGCAAGTATCACATCTATGATTGATATGAGAAGCAATTAATTCATCACCAAGCAGGATTTCAATCAGGAGCACGTGGCATTCGCAATGATTAGCAAATATATTACATGAACCTTCTGCAAAAAATTGTTATGTTGAAAAATTTCACGCGGTATGACATTTACCACGTCTTAATCAGTAGAATCGTTGAATTGTCCGAAAGGAAAAAAATGTAATCTCCAATGCCTTAGGACTGCAACTGGGTCAGCATAAAGTGCGGCAGACTTAGCCATTCTAAATATTAGACAGGCTAATATTTTGACGAGAACAAAACCTCGCAAGTATTAGCCATGTCATCTAGAATTTGGCAGTAGTAGACAGACAGCGCAGAAAAAAGTGCTTCCTGTGTCGGTGGTTCATGTTAATTGAGACGAAGATAAATGCAGAATTGGAATTGGATTTACTTTGCGCAAGAACACACACGCGCGCACTATGATTAGCGGAGGCACAACAAGATTAGCTGCAATTTTCAACACAAACCCCGGGCATGAAGAAGCAGAAGAAGTAGAAGGATCTTAAAAAAAACTACGAGGATATGTAGAGGAAGATAATTAATAATTTTTTTATTAAGCATATATGTTTAGGTGATAAATCTCCAGCTTCTAAAATTTATGGGCAACGAAGTACACCATGAATCCGAATGAGAGAAAAGTGGCGTTAAGAATATGAAACATATTATTCATGAAAGGATGGAAATTTATTTCCAATTTCAAAGATGGGAAAAAAATTACCCGCAGGAAAGAGATTCAAATAAGAGATGGAAGAGATGATCTAACAGACGTAGATATCTTGGCTTCATTTGAGTTCTAGAACTAACTTTCTCATGGAATAATAAACTCATTGTGCAGTCATCGAACAGTTCAAATTTAAGCACATTTAACTACAAGATAGGCCAGGCAAATCGAAGCGAGTGAAAAAGCATCTATGCAGCAATGAAAGGGAAACTAGCAAAACTAAACAGAACGCTTTATGAAATCTTATCAGACAAAGTTGGTATTCTACCAGAAAGTACAAGAGCTCATATCATATAGCGAACACAACAGATGATGGTAAGTGGGAAAGAGAATTGGGAAGTTGAATAAACATTTCAAAATATAGCATGATTTGAATGAAGCCGGTGAACAAGGAAAAATTGGCTCTTAAAAGACAATGAAATTCTAGTTTAGAGGAAGCAATATCTGCCTGATTTATCCTTTAGCATAAGATGAAATAAAGAAATGAAAAAAGAATAATAAATTGGATTTAAGGTTTAATTTCAACCACTTCTTGCGCAAAATCATTGCGAAAGCACTTGTTTCCATGAGAGGTACAACTGGTCAATGGATAGCCAAAATTATAGAACACGAGTACTATTAACGCAATTACATTTTCAGCGAATTAAAATCTAAAGTCCAGAATGCTCAATCATAAATGCGAAGATTAGGGACGGAATTCTTAGTAAGCAAATGAACTGTATAAGAGAAGAATGGAGACGTGTCAATACGATAAATTGTCAATATTTTGAACAAGAAAGAGAGAAAGTTGCAAAAAATCAGGAAATATTACATAACATTGTCCCTTAGTTTTGAAAAATGCTAAAATGTTATAATGTTAAAAATCTTACCATCAAGAGGAAACAAATATAGCCATATTTAACGTATTTTCAATGCGAATTAGTCCATCAAATTAGAACATTCAACAAAAGTTATGGAGAATATATCGAATCAAGGACAATACAAGCAAAACACGTTGTGACACTTAAGAGAAGAAACAAAAAAGTAAAATACTAGAAGAATTTAACCAAACGATTTAATTAGAAACAAGACAGCAATACATGTTTGATTAAAGAAATAAAAGATAACAATTTGTGATAACAATAAATAAAATTATCAAAATTGGAAATAGCCTCAGGGACACAGGACAATTTTACTTCAGGATGAAAACTAGATGAATACCAAGACACAAACGCATGAACGATCAATGGCCATTTAAAAAAAAGAAATGACAGTGATTCGATTCCTACGATTAATATTTACAAGGAAATCAAATTACTAAATTATAATAAACAATTTTGAAGCACAAAATAAATTTATTTAGGTAATCAACAAAAAATGTCAAAATTCAATTACACATACAGGTAAATCAAGAAATGAGTGGACCAATTTGGAAATTCGTAAAGTATAGAAATTACTTAACTATATCGACAACATTGAAAGCACACATATCCAAAGGATTTCCATGGAAAACTTACGAGAAGTACTGTTCTTTGTTGGTTGACGGTCAATTGAAGGGTTGGAATCAGGTTTCTCGCTAGAGTCCGAGCCAATTTTAGGTCCGAAAGGTAATCCAAAATTCTGTGGGTCAGCCAGTCTATGACATAATAACAAAAGACAATAAAACGAATAAATAAAATACATGAATGGAGAGATATAAGTACATTTGTGGTCTGTTCAAAAGAGAGCAAACGCTGAAAAATAATAAAGGTTAAAATTATAAAAACGTTTAAATATGTTAATAAGTAAAATCAAATAGTTTATTAATCGTATTTCGGTTAAATAATAGTAAATTCATTCGAAATAGATGTTAAAAAGTAAGAAAAGAAGCAACTTCACTGTTTCATAAAACCTTAAAATGCATATGAAAAATGTATGATAAGAGGTATCGATCAAATAAAAAATATAGCAAATGAATTTTTAAAACATACGTTGAAATGGAAAAATAAAATAAAACAGCCACTGCACACTTCAAGAGCCAATGGAGCTCTTGAACCAGTTAAATTTAAGGCCATTGCTTTTGAATGACCATGAAATAATAACGAAGTAATAAGCAAATTATACAATTTCGCGTTCAAGTTAAAATTGAACACAAAAGCGGTTATTTATCCGTATTCAAAAACTTTTTGCCATTAAACAAAAGTGCTAAATCGGTCATATGTACGTTTGAGGCTAATGTTTTCACTTACTGACGGCTATTTATTCAGATATTTTTAAAAGTTTAATTACGATTGTTAATTCAAAATGTACGTCTTCTTTTTACACATTTATAAAACCTTAAAGTTGAACCGCGCTATACAATTTTTTGCGCGTGTGTGTTATACCTCGTTTTCATAAATATGGGAAAGAAGAAGGTCAAAGACTTTAATAAGGTTAAACTGAAGCTTGGCAGGACTCTCAAAAGACAAAACGAAACAGTTGTTGATTTGTCGAAGAAAAAAATTTTTCTCCCTAAAGAGAAAACTCAAACTAAAGTAATTCCTTTAATGTTTTTCACTCTTATATATAGTACGACGTCCCTAAAGAACCAAATGAAATCTTTTGTGAATATGTTGGAGGCTTAAAATCATCCAGCGAAAGTTCTCAATTACATGCTCTTTCCTGTATTCAGTCGGTTCTTCAACCCTACATTTTACAGATTAATTCAGATTGGAATTCTCAACCGTTTGTATATCATAATGAAGTGTCGCTAAAATCTCTGGATACTCTTCTTGGATTTGACATAAAGCAGGGTCAAATCGCTTTGCAGTTTGGAGATTTATTCGAAGCAATTGAAAAGCTTTCTCGCCATTCAACTAGTGGTCAAATTCCTTCGGAGATTGCTAAACTTTGCGCAATGGTAACGACTGTAAGTAGTTTCGTAATGAAAATCTATTGATTTGTTAGATTTTTTCCGTTCATCCAAGGATCTTTTGTGGAGCTTTCGCGATTGATGTTATATCACTGTCCCTTCTTCATCGGTCTGAATTCTGGTTCAGAATAGCCGGTGTGAAAGTTTTAGCTGACTTAATGGAAGCCCGTTACCGGGTCTTAACTTCATTACTTTGCGCTGTTGATCATTTATCTTCATTTTCAATTATTGATGAATTGAAAATATGGATTGATGCTGTGAATTATTCAGCACGAATAAGAACTTATACTCGTTTGCTTATTCGCCATTATGAATCGCTTCATGAGGTTTGTTATTTTCTCTTTCGAATGCGGCCATTTTAGAATAAAGCATTTGATGCCATCTCATCCAGAAAAACTTTGTTGAAAGCCACCATGAAATACCTTCGTGATATTCAATACACTCTCTATGTTACTCCCTTGGTGCCTCTGAGTGTCGATTCTAAGGTTAAACTGCATCCGTTTCTCGCTTCTGTGGAACTCTCGATTCTTCACGTTTGTATGCATTTTCACCATGTTCTCTTTTTCCTGCTTATTTGAATTAAGTAGCTCATGTTGTTATATCTTTTGAAGATTCACCTGTTGGGTATTCTGGCACTAATCTCAATTCAACTTGGATGTTGAAAGCCGCTAATCCTATTTTAGACAAGGTATCCAATTCGAGTGTTTCTAAGGTGGATAAAAGTGGCTCTAAGAACAATTCAGCTCCTCTATTAAACAAATTTCAGGAAGATCTAGCACTTGATTCAAACCTTGTTTATTTCGTATTAAAGGAATGTCACTATCTTCTTGACGGTATGCTTTTGTTTGGTGATTTTAATCACTCTTCATTTTAGAATTGTTACATAAGCCTTCTCCCGATACCATATTTGAATTAATATATGCAATACGTTTTTTGAGAGTCTTTTTGGAGATGAATCCTTCATATTTTGCTTCTGAACACTCTGAATCGTGAGTTTTTTTATCCTAATAGTTTAGAAGTTAACCTCTAATTATTTTCTTTTAAGTTTTGGTTAAGACTCTTTATCATAAATGAATATCTTCATTTAATTTTCTTAATTGGTTCATCAATTGTGCTGCAAAATGGATGCAATTATGACTGTTTAGTTATTATTAGGATGGTTGATTTTCATCTGTCACGAGTTAGGTTTCTGAACAGTGCATTTTGCAACTATTCCGGCTAAATTTGATCAAGTTCGAGTTTTTTACCATGGTGTTTTTATGATTCCACACTTCGGCTACCATTGAACATACTTTGTCGTCCTATAACATTGGTTTCTAGCTTTTAACAGTCATAATTTATCTCCAAGAGATGACCACTTTTTAAAATTAAAATTTATTGCTCTTATGGTCAATTAAGCGTCTTCTCTCCTTTACGGCTAGAATGAAGTCCTGACTGATTAATGCTAAATGATTCCAAGAGCGAAGCCTAATTTAGCTTACTTTGTGCTTTAAAATGGAAGCTGGAAAAACTTCAGGTCGGTGTGTGGAATAATCTTATTTTACTCATTCCTTTATGTTTAGTTGAAAGTTTATTGAGATAAAAGCCAGGATTCTAAATAGATTAATGTCTTTTCTAAGATGTTTAGATACGATCTGCCTTTAATCATATGGAGACATTTCAAGTTTACTTGAGTTCGTACATCTTATTTTTGCATGTATAAAATTTGAGATTTGCTGATATCAGTCGGCGGCTATTTAGTTTACTTTACGTTGTTTATTTGAACCTAATTTACCTTCTATTATCGATTGAACGTGAAATTAAATTTATCGATTTTTTAATTGTTCAGGATAACGCGGAGGAAAATTTAATCACCTTTTGGTCCTCTGTTAGCATTTTTAATGTTCGTCTGAGCCTAAATCGCCCATGCTCAAAGAAGTAGTCCATTGGGGAAATGGCTTAATGATTCTTTTTTTCAAAAAATTTGTATTACACTACATTTTTGTCTTAAATAGTCCCTATTTGAATTGTGTACATGGTATTCTTTAACAATTATACATTCATAGAAAGGATCACATTCATTGGCTTAATTAACCATTTGATACACATGCATATAATAGAGGAGTAGCTGTGTCTGAAATTAATTTATTTATATCAAATGGCAGGCGTTTTGATAGTTATCATTAGCCCTGTAGTTGACTTCAGGCTTCGTGAAGGGGAGTAACAGACAAAGTGGAAAACAGTCGAGAGGGATAACAGAAGAGTGATTCAAAGATGTAAATAGACAGACGGACAAAAAGGGGTAGAAAAGGATATATGGCTACTGTAGAAGTGGTTGAATAAGACATACTGTGTTGCAATAGTAGTCTGAAGTCAACTGCCGGTTGATTGACTTTTTTGCCGTATGAGTATACGTTGCCCAGGGAGCACCACGCGGAAGTAAGTCTATCGTACACCCCCAGTGTCTGAAATCCTTTCTCCAGTTGTGTTAAGTTTTGATGGGTCCGAATTACGCGGCTAACTAAACATGCCTTTTTATTTCCTCTAAATATAAATCTGTTAATGGGTCTGGTACTTCTAATCACTATTTTTTATAAGTAATCAAAACATC